CTGCTCCGTGGGAAGTCTGCTTCTCCCTCTCCCACTCCCCCTGCTTGTGCTCCTGCTCGCTCTCTCTCTCTCTGTCAAATAAATGGATGAAATCTTTAAAAAATAAAATAAAATAATTAAATTTTTAAAACTGGATGAATGGGTTTAACCACAAACAAGAGACAGTTGCAGAGACAATTAGTGAACTATAGAAGAAATTACCCAGAACGTAGTACAGAAAGACAGAGAGATGGAAAACATAAATGAGAGGTCAAGAGATAGGGAGGAGAGAATGAAAAGCTCTAACATGCAGAGTTCCAGAAAGAAAAGAAAGGAGAGGAGAGGAAGAAATTATAGAGCCAAGGAAATATTTACAGAAACAATGGATGAGAATTTTCCAAAACTGAGAAGAAACACCAATTCACAGCTTTGTAACAACTGAATGAACCCCAACTAATGAATCTCAAGCAGGTTAAATACAAACAAATCCAATTCTAGAGATGTAATAATGAAACTGTAGAAAAACAAAGACAAGAGCTTAAAAGTAGTAGAGCAAAAAGAGGAATAAAGGACTAAAAATTAGATGACAGCTGATTTTTTCAAAAACAAAAATAGGGCGCCTGGGTGGCTCAGTTGGTTGGGCGACTGCCTTCGGCTCAGGTCATGATCCTGGAGTCCCTGGATCGAGTCCCGCATCGGGCTCCCTGCTCGGCGGGGAGTCTGCTTCTCCCTCTGACCCTCCCCCCTCTCCTGCTCTCTCTCTCTCATTCTCTCAAATAAATAAATAAATAAATCTTTAAAAAAAAAAACAAAAACAAAAAACAAAAATAAACAACAGAAGAAGTGGATAATAAATGAGCAGGGAGAAAACTCAACCCACCAAAAATATCTTCCAAGAACAAGTGCATAATAAGGAAAAACAAAACCTAAGAGAATTTGCTACCAAAAGATAAGCAAATATTTAAGAATGAATTTCAAACATAAGGAAAATTGAACAAATGAGTGGTAAGATGTGTGGCTGAATATAAATATATATTAACTAGTGATGCTGACTTGTGGAGCCAAAAAGAGAAAACCAATGTACCTGACAAAGATGGTGCATAAACCAGGGAGAGGTGATCAGAATTAGGTATTTTAAGGTTCTTCCTTCAAGAGAAGGAAAAAATACTGAATACTTTACACTAATGAATCCAATATGCATGTGAATATATCCAAGGTAACCACCAAAATAACAGGAATAGGCTTACATACTAATTAGGACAAAAATGAAATGGGTGAAAAATCACTTCAGTCAATTATGATTGGAAATGGAAATATAGAAAATGAGGGGGAATAGAAAGCATAAAATAAAATGGTAGAAATAACAAATACATAGTAATTTCAATACATCTGAATGAATTCAATAATCTAGTTAAGAAAGAAAGACTATCTGATCAGATTTTTAAATTTCCATGTGCTGTTTACAAAAGACAAATCCAAAGCAAAAGGACTCTATTCAATAATAGCAGAATGAAAAAAGATACACCATGCAAATATTAACCAAACAAAAGCTGATTAATATAAAATGCAACATGCAAAGAGCATTATTAGAAATAAAAAAGTCACATATTAATTTTAAAAATCCCCCAAAGATTAACAATTCTGAACTTGTTTGCATTTAATAATTTAATTTAATAAAACTCAAGGTTTTTGTGCCATGATTCTTAAATCTTAGATGTGTTCCGAAAATCATTTCGTATACTCTCAATATATAATTAAGACATGTAGGAAAAAAAGATGAAGAAATGGCCAAACTATGTCACGATAAGATGCACACTAGGGGTGCCTGGCTGGCTCAGTAGCAAGAGCATGCAACTCTTGATCTCTGGGTTGTGAGTTTGAGCCCCTGGTGGGGTGTAGAGATCACTTAAATAAAGAAAATTAAAAAAAAAAAAAAAAAGATGCACACTAGTGAACTGGCAAAGGGATGGGAGGGCCCAGCTCTGATCTAATGCCCAAGTAGAGGCTCTTACCTCACCGTAACTCAGACTTTTCACTCATTAAATGGGGCTAACAATACATACTACACGCAGATCTTCTGAGGATCACAAAAGACAATGGATGTGAAAGTGTCTTGTAAAAATAAAAGTGCTACACAAATGTAAAGTGGCGTTATTCTTAATAATTTCAGATTTGCTGGGCAGGGAACAGAGAGCTACATCCTGTGACTCAGTCCTACCCCTCTTCCTGGGCCCACCCCAGCTTACAAAAATGGGCTTCACACCGTCAGGACCACAGGTTGAAGGATTAATACCAATTATGCATGGTGAGGGGGAAAAGAGTCTCAGCTAGGGGGATGGGGGTCACACAGCCTCTTCCACCGTCCCACCCGCAGGTGAACTGGCTCCCAGATCAGCCTCAGCAAAGGGACAGAGTATGAATGAAGCAACCGCCCCCCCCCCCCGCCTCACATCTGAACCTCTCTCTCTCTTCTAAGCCCAGACCCCTACTCCACAGAGTGAGCTCAAAGGGTTCACTTCAACTTTACATCAATTGGAGTCAAACACAATAAAAATGAACGGTCCGTGCACCTCTCCACCCCCAATTCCACCCACCAGATTCCATTGGAAATGCTGCTTCCTCCCACCACCACCACCCCCCAAAAAAACCTTTAAAATCATACCTTGGGGGCACCTGGCTGGCTCAGTCAGTAGAGCCTGGGACGCTTGGTCTCGGGATTGTGAGTTGGAGACCCACACTGGGTGTAGAGATTACTTAAAAATAAAATCTTTAAAAAAAAAAAATCATACTCTCAAAGCAAACAGAAAGACTTGCTATTTATTTGGGATTTGTTTTATTTTTTTAAATCCATGTTCCACTACTGCGGAGAAGCAGAAGCTAAAGGACAAGCCTCTTTATTTAGCAGGTGGACTATGCACGTTTGTGGATTCACTTCAGCCTCCAGAGCTCGCCTGGCCAGAGCAGCTCCTCCCTCGGTGGAGGGGGAGGGGGTCTTCACCTGCTGAGACAGCTCCTCCTTCCTCTTTGCACCGAGGTCTTTTCGCCCCTGAAAGGGGGTTAGAGGTTCAAATTCTAATTGTCTTTGCAAACCGCCTTCCTTTCATCCACTCGCTCACGCTGGTGTGTCTTAGACAAAGTTGAGTTGCTTTATGGAGCCAAAAGATCCCCCTGCTGACATTCCCTGGGCGGGCAAATCCTGTCTCCCCCCTTCATAAGAAGAGCTCCCTGAGAACCAGAGCTGCGGGTTCCATCAAGACGGGCCCCTCCCCAGGGGTTCAAGAAAACCAATGCCATTCTCCCCCCAGCATTCTGCTCTCTGCCCACACGAGGGCGCACGCTCCACGCCCCAAATTGCCCACCACTGTCGGCGGGGAAGGTACTTTGCCAGAGGGAGTTAAATAGAGCCGACCAAGGCTTTGGACAAGGCTCTTCGGCCTGGGAGCAGGAAGCTCTGGGTCTCTCCTGCTTCCCGTCAGGGCCAGTTCCTACTCCCTGCGGGGCAGGAGGGGCAACTGGGGAGGAGGGACTAGTTGCCCTTTCTCGACTGTTCACTCTTAGCAGCCCCATGGAGAAGGAAGACAATTCCACAAAGTTGGGCCCCCAGGAAGTGGGGAAGAAAGGGGGGAAGGAGGCTCTGGTCTCCCTCTGAGGTGTCCAGAACCTACAGAGGAGCTTGCCTGGCTCAGACTAGGCCTGGAGGGGAGAGAACAGTGACAAATGCCCCATTGCCCTGAGATAGAGTTTATCCCCATGCCCCGCACCCTGAAACCACAAATGCAAACAATGGATTCAGACAATAATTCAATTAGTCATCCTCCCTGATGGGGGCTGAGAGCCAGGCTTGGTTCCCATGAAATAACTGGGATGATTCATTCTGAGGCTGCAGGGATGGGCCAGCTCAATATTGACTGAAAGGCTTGAAGCTGTGGTTGGCCCAGCCCCAGGGACCCCACCCTGCCCCCATCAAGAGCACCCCATGATTCTCATGTTCCTGCAGCTGCCAGCTACTCAGACCACCACCCCCAACACAAAATACAGAGACAGGATCCTAAAGTAGGCCCCCCACCTTCAACTGGGCCATGGGCAGCTGCTGTGGACTCAGCCCTACAGTGGCCGCAGTGGCCTCAGAACCCTCTCCAGCCGGGCTTTGGGCACTCCGGACGTGCCCTCTCTGCCTCCACTCCACGGAAGGAAGAAAGTGGACCGGCCCCACCCCACAGCCCTTCTGTCAGCACACCCAGAGCAAAACAGGTCTTTGTCTTCAGGGACCCTGCCAATGATGTGGGAAACAAAGGCAGAAGGAAATGTAAATTTAAATGTCCTTATAGTCTGCAGCCCGTTGACAAAATACTCGAGGCAAGCAGAGTAGACCTTCCTCCAGGAAGCTCCCAACTGTCTTAATGTAAATACTTTGCTAGAGGGAAAAACCTTAGCTTGACAATAGCAAGGCCTCCAGTATCTTGAGAGTCGGCTTTAACATATGAAAGTCCTTCTGGATCTTCCCTTATCTTTACTTCCCCCAACCCACAGGTATATAATCAGTTGCTCCTTACAATCCCGAGACAGCAGCTCTTTTCTGCCCACGTATCCTGTCCCCGAGCTTTAATAAAACCACCTTTTTGCACCAAGGACGTCTCAAGAATTCTTGGCCGTCGGCTCCAGCCCTCACCAACCTCACCAATATTGAAAAACTACATCGCATCACCAGGACTATCTCTGCCCCCCATTGGACCCATCCCAGCCTGGCTCAGGCACCATTTCCTTCCCCACCCACATCCTAAAACCCTCTTTCCTGGGGACCACCTGATTGTCCCTTAAGATGCCTTCGTCCAGGGCGAGACCCTTTTCTAATTCATGTAAAGGCACCTTACGAGCTAGCGGTGGCCTGGTCAGGGTGGCCCCAGGTGTGGGTCATTGCTGAGTCACTCCCAGAGATGACCATGAGCAAACTCTGATGGCTGGCACAGCACCACGAAGAGGAGGGAACAGAAGTCACTAGAAGCCAGGACACGGAGGCAGACTTGACCAAAAAAAGATATTTATTGAACAGTTACCCACCACTGGAGCTGACTTAGGCAGGCCCGATGGAGGGTGTCTCCACCTTCCTGATTTATTTTCAGCCCTTGAGGGCATCATTGTAGATCAAAGCCAAGGCTCCCAGGAAGGTGACATATTCCTGGAAGTTCACCACCTGGTCCTTGTTCCGGTCCAGGTCGTCCATCAGCTTTGCAATGTCAGCATCCTGCAGCTTCTAGCATGTCAGAAAGGGAAATCCAGACTCAACGTGATGAGAACCTTGGGTTCTCTCCCTTTCCCCCTTCCAGGCAGCCCTCCCTCACACAAGTGGCTGTGCACTCTCTTTGTCAAAGACAGAGTCCACCTTGGGTTCACTTGGCTTTACTTCTCCTCCGCTCCTGCTCCTCACTAGGGAGAGTACCAGGCTGAGAGTATTAGGAATTGACCAATGGTCCCAGTAAGCTATGTGGACTTGGGCCCCAGAATGTGGATAATTGTGAGCCAGATACACCTGGCACCTCTCCCTCTCCTCACCCTGCTTCTAAAGGGCAGAGGACGGGGGGCCTTACTCACCGCACCAATGGTGAGCTCTTTCTGGATCAGCTCCTTCAGCTCCTTCTTGCTCAGAGTGTTCTTGTCACCTTCCCTGCCCGAGTATTTATGGAAGATGGCCACGAGGAGGCCAATGGCCTGATCCAGGGGGCACGCCATGGCTGGGCACTGGGCTCAGAGCTGGGGGCGGAAAGGCTGGTCAGTGCCCAACGGCCTCCCCACCCACCCACATTCACATTCCCCAAGTGCTCTGTCCCCACCCGCATCCAGTCACCATCGGGAGTCAGCCCAGGGCTTGAGGGGGAGGGAGAGGCAGACCTGAAGGCCCAGAAGAGAGAGGTGGTCAAGGAGCAAATAGGACCACAGCTGGGAGCTAGCCTCCAGGGGTTCCAGAAGTCGGGGAGTACGAGGCGGGCCGCGCTGACACACCCGGGGCACACCCCTCCCGCAGCCCGGGGGCCGATTCACCCCAGGGCGGGCGGCCACGGGGACCCGGCGGCCCCGCAAGGACTCACCGCTTGGCCGGGAGAGCGTCCAGGGGCCGGCAGGGCGGTGGCCAGCGCGCCTTTTAGCGGCCGCCGAGCGGAGGCCGGGCGAGCCAGAGCCCACCCCTCCCGCCGCCAGGCCCCCAACCCCGCCCCGCCCATCCCAGCCAACTTCCGCCCCCCACCCCCAGGCCAGCCCCACCCCGACCTCCGCCCCGCCCTCAGGCCCGCCCCGTCCAGGCCCGCTGGGCGCACGACACACCCCGGGGGCCCCCAGCCCTCCGCGCCTCCTGCGCCGGGCTGTTCCGGGTTCCCGGGATGGAACCGGGATCCCAGGGGAGACCGTTGCAAGTCAGGGACATGGAGCTCCGGCAGCTCCTTGGCCCGGGGGGCTCCCCAGAGCGTATTCAGGGTCAACCCCCGAGGAAGGAGAGGGATCAGCCAGTGGTCTATAGGATATGATTTAAAGGACATCTGGAACACCCACCCCTCAGCAAAAACAAATTCCCACCACCACCCTCACAACCGTTCCTCCCCACCCACACCCCCACACCCCAGCCTGGAATTCCGCCTTCAGCCTCTTGCCGGGCAATGTGCACCCTGGCGCTTGCCTGAGTTATGTACCCTCCAGTGAAAAGGTTTTCCAGATCCTCTCCTGAGACAGGAATTTCTCAGGGGGAAGTGGAGACAGCGGAAGCACTGAACCCCACAGATGATCGTGGTGAGGTGGGTAGGGCTAGCTGCCGAGGGGGAAAGGGGGCTGGCATGGGGTGTCGTCCCGGTGGCCTCCTGTGGCCTCAGACTGGCTTGTCCACCACTGCCCTCAGGAGCCTCCCCCAGCTCCCTCACTGCGTATGCTCTATCAGAGCACTTCCTCTTCGCTTTCTCTGGGAGGCAAGTGAAAGCCTGGCCCAACTTCCCCATTTTCCGGAGAGGCAAAACTAAACCCAGCAAGCTCAGTGACATCCACACTGAAGAAGGGCAGGAAGTGGGGTGGAAGCCGAGGACCCTAACTCCCAGAGGCTCTCAACACACTCAAGGAGAAGTTCTGCCTTGCCCCACCCACCCCCAGGCAAGGTGGACAAGACATCTTCAAAACCAGCCAGGAATGGAAAATCTTTATTTCCTCTGCTGGAAGGGAAGGCTGAAGCAGGGTCCATCCAGAAGGGAGAGGAGGACAAGGGGCCAGAGAGGAGCTGTGAGAGAAGTTGCAGAGACCAGGGGGAAGGGGCTGAGCCCCGGTCATTTGCTGTCCTCCAGGAAGAAGTTGTTGTAGGCCATGCCCAGCGTGGTCAGGAACACCGAGTACTCCTTGAAGTCGATCTCCTGGTCACTGTTCTTGTCCAGGCTCTTCATCAGGTCATCAGTGCTGCTCTCCTTCATCTTCTTCAAGGGCCCAGGAAGAGGGACGGGTCAGCCACCCCACCTAGCCCTGCCTCACCACTGCACGGTGCCACCCACCCCCTGGGAAGGCAGTCTCAGCGTGATCCTCATCTGGGTCAGCAACATTCTGAACATCTCAACCCCCAGCATCTCCCCCAGCCCACACCCAGCCTGGGGCCTGGCCCCATGCAGTGACCTGACTCCTGAATCTAAGCAAATGTCTGTAGGAAAGCTGGTCCAATCTCCCTTCCTCAGCACTTTCCACCATCCAAAGAAATAATCATCTAGATTTTATACAGTGTCCAACAGAAACGCCTTGGTGACTATGTGGCACTGAGCATGATTCAGACTTCTTCTGTCTCTGTAGAGGATAGTTGAGAACTGACCCAGACAACACGCCATGAGAGCAGTGTGCCAGAGGCCAGAAGCCACCAGAGCCTCCCTTTCTGGGAGAGCCTGCGGCACACCTGTGTAAGGATGAGGACCCGGCTCAGCCATACTCTGTCTGTCCCCTGCTCTCCCAGCCCAGCTCCACCAAGAGGATGGAAACAGGGCCCTCTGGTGGGACAGGAAGAAAACACAGACCTGGGCGCCTGGGTGGCTCAGTTGGTTAAGCGACTGCCTTCGGCTCAGGTCATGATCCAGGGTCCTGGGATCGAGTCCCGCATCGGGCTCCCTGCTCTGCGGGGAGCCTGCTTCTCCCTCTCCCACTCCCCCTGCTTGTGTTCCCTCTCTCGCTGTGTCTCTCTCTGTCAAATAAATAAATAACATCTTTAAAAAAAAAAAAACACACAGACCTATTCTGCCCTCCTCTCTTCACTGCCCTCAGCTCCCACTTTTCCACAGGAGACAGACGTCAGGACAAAGGGAGATGGAAACAGCTTCTCTGTGACACGGTCCTTGCCCCCTGTCTGGGCTCCTGTTAAAGTCAGGCCTTCCCCAGGGCCTCTGTTCCCCTGTAATTAACCCCTAGGGGACCCGCCACCCCTCCCTTTGCCCTTGTTAACTCCAGGATGCAGAGAGCCTGGCAGGAAAGCCAGAGGGCAGGCTTGGTGAAACCCACACCTGCTCCAGTCCGAAGCCCAAAGGGGAGGTTCTCTCTGGGGAGGCCCACCAAGGTTCACAATGTGACTGGAGAGGCCCCCAAGACTGGATTTTCAAGGGAAAAAGGACTCTGCCTCTTACTAGCTGGGTGTCTTTAGACAAGTTAGATAATGTTTCTGAGCCTCTATTTTTTTGAACTGTAAAAATAACATAACTTCCTCATAGGCCTTCCCTTTGGTCAGCCGCCTCCCACCATCTCCATCTGGCAAGAAACAATCTATCTCCTTCCAACCTTGTGTTCACAAACTAGAAGAATGATCCTTTTTGTTCCCATGTCAGCGCCAGCTGAGAGCCCTGGATGTACCAGGCACACAGGTGAAGGCCCTGCCCTTGAGCCGTGCACAGCTCAAGCTGGGCACCCTGGTGCCTTGTTCCCCAGATTCCTCACACAGGCTCTTCCACGGCTGTGTGGGCCTGGCCTCAACAAAGAAGGCTCCCTGACCTCTAAACCTTCACACAGGCTATAATTCACCCTCTGGATGCTGCCCTTACTCCTTCCCAGTGAAACCCAACTCGTCCCTCATCACAGAGGTCTTGCATCTGGTGGCCCAAGATGTCCACCTTCTTCATTAGGTCTCTGTCAGTTGCCTTTGGCCATCCTGCTCCTGGCTGAGACTAGAGCACTCGGAGGGCAGATGTGTGTCCCCTATTCTGGGTCTCTACAGATGCAGAACTGGGGCTTCCTACCTCACAGAAGGGGAGCCCCTGACAGTGGTATGGTGCTTCCTCTGTTTTCCTCCTCCCCCAAGGTGTGCACAGGGAGAATTCAGGCTTTGGGGTGGGGGTGACAGTCACCTACCTCTCCAAGATACAGCTCCTTCTTGATCAGCTCCTTTAGTTCCTTCCTGCTCAGGATCAGTTTGCTGCCTTCTCTCCCCGAATATTGATGGAAAGTGGTGACCATAGTGGTCAGGGCCTTCTCAAGAGGTGTCTCCATCAGTGTGTGGCTCTGGAGGGTGAAGGGAGAGGGAAGGATCACCATCCCAGGGAAGCCAGACCTTCTGCTTCCCCTATCACTAGCCCAGCCTCGAGGCTGTCTCTCAAGGACCAGAAATTAGAACCCAGATGACACAGAATCTACCAACAAGTGGACCCAAATGTATCAGAACAAGTTGTAGTAAGACCCGAGGCAAACGTGGAACAGCCAGAGCCATGAGACCAGCCAGCCCCCAAAGGAGCCTACACACTCTCCTGCTTAGGAGATGCTGGAAAAGGGCTCTAGGGGCAGATGACAAGATGACCTCCCCAAAGATGAACTGGTGGCAGATGATGGAGCCGAGAAAGGGCCCCTGGCCCATCTAGCTTGGACACTCATCTCCCAGAGGCAGCCCTCACCCCAATCTCCCTCCTTTGCCCCAGTGCCTGAATCACCTGATAGTGGGGAGTGTCCCATTATAGAAGTAGAGGACAGGGCAAAGAGAGAGTCCAGGGTTTGGAGGGGCCTGGGGCTGGAACTGGGAGATAAGGTCTCAGCAGGAAACAGAGCAGAGGTTGCTGGACTTGTCCAGCTGGTCTCAGTCTCTGGCCCAGAGAACTGCACGCAACTGGCACCAAGAGGGGTGGGCCTATCAAAATCTCCAGGGCCCCTCTGAGAGCTGGATCCAGAGGTTGGATTTGAATGTGGCCCCCCATGTCCATCAGCACAGCCACACCCACCCAAGGGAAGAGGGAGCTCCCATGACTCAGACTTGAAAACCACTTCCCCTTAGGAAGGAGGCAACACCCAAGAAACTTGGGTGCTCCAGGTTAATCTGTGTGGAGTCCAGAGCAAGAAGGAAGAAGCAGCTGGCTCTCACCTTCAGCCCAAAGCCCCCCTAGTGATTCTTGAACTGGATCTGTCATTCACCTCTCACCACCCCAAAACCTCAGCATCACCTGCCCCCCTCCCCCACTCCAGGAGACTCAGCCAGGACCACAGGGGAGGGAAGGTTCTCTGGGCATCTGCAACAGCATCCTGGCTGGTTCTGATCACAACTCCGTGCCTAGAGCCACTTGTCAAGAAATTCTGATAACCACAGCTCCACACTCAGCCCTCCTTCCTGGGCGCATGCCCACTCATCACGCCAGGCCTTCCACAAGGCTTGTCATGGTCTGGCCTCATTGCCCTCCTTGCCCCAGCGTATATATGAGCAGGGAGGTGAGAAGGAAGGACTCACCAGGGAAGGAAGCAGCAGACAACCCACACAGCAGAAACAGGCTCCCTCCCACCACTCCCTGCCTTTGTTCCCTTGCTCTGGTCCCCAGGAAACCAGGGGAGGGAAAGAGCCAATGAGAAGGAGAGGGACCTGAGAAGGCCCAGGTCAGAGGCTCATGGGACGGGGCTCGGGAGAAACCCCTCTGCCAATCTTGCCTTCCTTGTTTCCAAACAGAGGGGAAGGGGGCACATTGAGTTCACTGCGGCACACACATCTTCAGTTCCAGAAGCTTTATTTTCCCAACCAAAAACCAGCACTCAATCTGATGGGACAACAGGGTAGAAGAGAAACCAGCTGCACTGGGGAGAAAAGACCCAGGAAATGTGGGCCAAACACAGGGTATCTTCTCTCACCCTAGGCCACTCTCCACACTGGGGCCCTCCCATCCACACCAAGAGTAGAGCAAACACACCTTGAGATGGGAATCCATGAGGGAAGATGTTTCCTGCCAAGGGCGTGAAAGTCAAGGTCAAGGTCATTAGCAAGTATGGAGCCTGTTTTTAAAGGGCTTTTCTTTTTTATTTATTTTTTATTTATTTATTTATTTATTTGACAGAGAGAGACACAGAGAGAGAGGGAACACAGCAGAGGGAGTGGGAGAGGGAGAAGCAGGCTTCCCGCTGAGTAGGGAGCCTGATGTGGAACTCCATCCCAGGCCCCTGAGATCATGACCTGAGCCGAAGGCAGACGCTTAACGACTGAGCCACCCAGGTGCCCCTAAAGGGCTTTTAAAAGTGATTTCTTCTAAGCCTCACTCATCTTCATGGGAAAAAATTGTCAGAGACTTGGAATGGTAGCTTGGGAATCAGGGACCGGGAAGGGGCCCAGGAAGGGTAGGGCCAGGTGATGGTGTAGAGGTTGTGGATTGGGGAAGCAGGTTCGGGGGGCAGGAAGGAATGGGGCCGGGGGCAGGGAGAGTTGCCTGAATCCCAGGAGAGACATTGTTCTACTACCAAGTAGTTCAAGTATGAGAACAGAGCTGGTTAGGGGCTTGCACCTAGAGGTACTGCAGCCCCACCTGGCCTGCTTGGGCACTCCCCCCTGCACCCACTCTGCCCCACCCCCAGTGGCAAGGTTAGAGAAGCAGCAGGGACTGGTCGCTGAGCAACAGGAGTTTCTGAGATAGAGTGATGCAGGAGCAGTCCCTAGGGGAGGGCACTCCCTTGGAAGATGGGTGGCCAGGGGCCAGACAGAAGGGGAGGAGGCAGGCTTTTTCCTGGACCAAAATCCTACCCAGGCCTCTGCAGTCACACTCTGAGGGAACATCTGAGTCACCTGCCCCACTGCTCTGACACTTGAGAGAAAAACAGTATATAATGAGAAGGAAGGGGGAAAGCTTGAAAGGTCAAGGGACCAAAACCCCCTGCTGCCGGACACCACATTTACTCACCTCCTTCCTAAAGGCCCCCACACCACCAGGGCCTGGCCTGGAAGTCTAACTTCAATCACCCACCAGCCTTTAACCTGACGGGATGCAAAATCCTGCCTGATATTTTCTGGGGAAAGAAAAATCTCAATTTCATTTATCAGATCATGTGTCTGGAATTTCATCTCCAAAATTATGGCCACCTCCCACCATCTCCCTCATTTCCACCCCAGCTACTATCCTCCACTCATCCCTTGGAGGTCCTTTTGTCCTTCTCTGAAGGACCATGACCCTAACTGATAACAGCCCTCATTCCTGGGTCTCTGGGGCAGGGACAACAAAGGTTGAGAGGGTGATATTCTCAGGCTGCTGCAACGGTGTGGCCTCCTTCCACGCGGCCTCCCTGATCTAACCATGGACAGGATGGACTCACCCATCCCTGGGTTGGAAACCAGGGCACTGGAAGGGGCCCACAGGGTAGGGCCCTCCTGATTCAGCTCCCTGCTCCAAGGCGCCCAAACTCCATTCCAGGCCCCAGCCAGGAGCAGATACGAACTTCAATCCCTCCAGAGGCAAGGCTGAGGTGGGAGGGGCAATTCTGCTGGCAAAGACCCCACAGCTGGGGCTTTCCAAGCCTTTGGGTGTTCTTTTCCCTGCCCTCGGCCCCATCAGTCAACTCCATCATGCACACACAAGGACAGTCTTCCATTCACCCCTTCCCCCCCACCTTCACTAGTCTGCTCTCCACAGAACCGCTGCCCACTGCCTGTGCTCCCCACCCCCACATGTCCCTCAGCCCCCACCCCAGACCCAGAGTCTCTCAGACCATCAGCCTCAAAGCTTCCAAGGATCTTTATTGAACTTGGTCCACATCGTGCACACATCTGGTGGAGCCGGGGTGAGGTCCTGTGCCCTCTACCAACAGGTAAGTTACCCCCCACCCACACGGGGGCCTTCACTTCTTCCGGGGCTGCTTATCGGGGAACCCTTCGAAGAACTCATTGCACATCATGGCAATGCAGGACAGGAAGACACAGTACTCCTGGAAGTCCACCTCTTTGTCCTTGTTGCTGTCCAAGTTGCTCATCAGCTTCTGGAAGGCAGCTTCATCCATCCTTTTCTGCAGGGAAGAGGCGACAGGTAGAACCACAAAGTCTGGGGATGGAGCCAAGACTACACCAGGTTTCCATCTTCAGATGGGAGCTCAAGAAGGCACGGCCACTCCCTGGGGGCCCGCCCTGGGGGCCCCGCTTTGGAACCCCAGCTCTCAGGGGCTAGGCTGGGGCCACAGAAGATCACCCCAAGGGGTGAGGAACTCTGAGTACCTGCACACAGCTGGAGAAGGGGACCACGATGTCTTCCCCCAAGGTTGTTCCAAGAACCCAACTAGACAATGGTCATGAAGGTAACATACAAACTGCATAAAGTTTGATATAAATGGGAGCTGTGAGTGCTCGGGAGCATAGGCATGTGTCTCCATAACTGTGTCTTCACATGCACAGAGACTCAAAAATTATTCGTTGCTGGACTGATGGTAAACATCCCGGTTTGTGGATCTCAGCTTTGCACTTTCACTACCTTAGGAAGTTCCTTAGCCTCTCTCAACTTTTGTTGCCCTTCAGCTGAGTTGGACAAAGCACCTGGCGAAGTCCGGCGGGCGTCCTACCTGTTCGTTCCCAGCCCTCTTCCTGCTGGGCTCCAGGAAATGAGCGGCGGGTGCTCACTGTGTTTCCAACTAGAGCAAGCCCTCTGCCCGGACGTCCCCATCTCGGTGACAGATGCCAGCTGTCACAGACTCTGCCAAACCACTGGTGCCCTCCCACCCAGACCTTGCCCCTCCTCTGCGGAGAAGGGGGCACACAGGGGCATACTCCCAGGCAGTAGCGACTCACCCCCAAGAAGCTGGGCAGCTCCTGGGTCAGCAGCTCCTTTAGCTCTGACCTGTTGAGCTTGAACTTGTCACCCTCCTTGCCCGAGTACTTGTGGAAGGTGGACACCATCACATCCAGAGCCTTCTCCAGGGGGCATGCCATGGTGGCAGTCAGGATCTGAGGACAGGGTCCCAGAGACACCCTTATCTTCCCCAGCCCCACCCTCAGAATGCCCCACCCCACTCCCATCCCTCAGGGACCACCTGGTGAGACTCTGCTCTCACCAGAGGGGGGCCCCAGAAAGGTGGGGCTCAGCTCCTGGTGGAAAGTGTGTGCTTCGGGCCACCAACACTGGCCAGGACCGCTGCACAGGCTCTGGATTTCAGGCAGCCTTGCTCAGGCTGGGCCTCACCAACTATTCCCCACCCCCCAGTACTCCCACGGCCACAGCAGCCCCGCCCTGCCCCATTCTCCCCCTCCAAGGGGCCTGCAGCGGAAAAAACCAGCGGCCTAGCCCTAGACAGGGAGGGGCAGGGTGAGGTGGCAGGGGCAGAGACGCAAGGGAGGGGTGGGGAGGCAAGCTCCCTTTGGCTGGGCTGCTGGGTGCAGAGCAGAGGCCCATAGGACACAACCAGACGAAAGGCCAGTTGCCTTCAGTTTTCTTCCCACACCCGAGTGTGCATACACAGGCTTGTGCAACCCAGCAAACACAAGCCAGTGTGCAGACCCACAGGTCACACACACTACAGCAACAGCATGTGCAAAGCCCAGCATCTCATCACCACCCAGCTAGGTCAAATCCAGCCACCTGCACGCTTCTTGTTTTGTTGGGTTTTTTCTCTTGCATGTGCATGCAGGTGCGCAAACACACACACACACATCCCACCACAGGGCCTCCTCATCAGAATCTCACGCTGGACCCAGTTAGCACATCTGGCCCCCACCAGCCACTCCTTCCTCTGCCCTGAGCCTGACCCCAGCTTCAACCTGACAGCCCTTGTGTGCTAGTCAGGAGACCACGACTCACCAGGCCAAGAGGGAGGAGGAGATGAGGAGAGAGGGTGCGAAGAGAGAAAGAGTGGGGAAAACCCAGCGGTCTGTCCTATTTATACCCTGGCCAGGCCCTGCCCATAGCAGGAGCTGGGGAAGAGTGAGAGACAGTCCTCCTGTGGGCCCCTCCACCAGCCCAGCTGGAAACCCAGCTTCCTGCCCTGGGCAGGCACACTGGACAATGGGAGAGCCCACAGAAGCAGGGGGCTCAGTGGGTTGGGCACTCCCCAGTGGGCACAGCTCAACCTGAATTTTAGGGAGCTAGAGGAAGTCTGTGCCTTGGGTATGGGAGACAGGGAGGAAGTGGTCCCACTGGGCAGCTAGAAAGGGGGATACAGGGGAGGTGAGTGATGGGTGAGAAACTGCCCTGGAAATGCCCGTGCTGGCTTAGTTGGTAGAGCATGCTACTCTTGATCTCTGAATCTCTTGAGTTCAAGCCCCACGTTGGGCATGGAGCCTACTTAAAAAATAAAATAAAATAAAATCTTGAAAAAAAGAAATTGCCCTGGAAATGTGGCTGCCCAAGCACTAAGAAGGGGACCCCAGGCTCAGTGTTGTGGTACGGCTCTTGCTGCCCTTTTCCCCTCCCCAAAGGGCGCTCTGCCATGCTGAGTGAGGTCCAGGGCAGGAGGTGGGGGTCTGGAGGAGGAGCAAACCAACAGCCGAAGCTGATGCTAGGACCACCCCAGGCATGTCAGTGGATGAAGGTCCTGGGTGCAGTAGTGATGGAGTAGGGAGTAGGAGTCAAGTGTGGGGCTCAGGGATGGACAGCAGGTACCCATAGGACTGGGGAGAGGGAGGGTATCAGGAGGGGCTATCCAGAGTTGGGAAAGAATTAAAATGAAGAGCGCAGGTTGGGGTGGAAAGTTAGAGAAGAAATGGCACAAAATGGGGAAGGCAGGGATCAGGGTCACCCTCTCAGAGTGGGGTATGAACTCAGGTTGACTGGGATCAGGAGTGGGGGGCTAAGGCCCTCAGCTGGTTATGGCTTCAGGGATGGGTTCTGGCTCAAGGTGCCCCCTTCCCCCTCTGATGCAGGGTACCCCTCCCTGGCCAGGAGCAATACCCTAGTCAGACCTCAGACACCCTAATCCTATTAGTTCTGCTCTCTGGGCTCCCACAGCCAGGCCAACAAGCCCGCCCCACCCCTACACCCCACCCTCCTCCTCAGAACAGCCTTGCTGAGGACCGAGCACCATCCCCAGGGAATCTCGGGCTGCCCTGGTGTCCTCCTTGACAGCCCAGGGGAGCTTCTCCTTCTTCTCCCCAGAGAGAGAAAGAGACACCCCCAAAGCCCCTAGACATTGTCCTCATATTGACCCCACCCCTCCCACCGGAGGTGGAGACCATATGTTTCCGCTGGGTTGACACCGCCCTTGGCCTCTTGCTCTCCAGCACGAAAGACCAGAGAGGAGTGAGGACTCTGCCCCGAGACCCGAACTATCAGAAGAAGCAAGCCAAACCAAGAGACACCAGTTCTTTATTAGGAGTTAAAAGGGCCTTGTGTGTGCAGGGCAGCCTCCCCCCCTCCCGTCACAGCCTCAGTGGGGAGGCAGCAACTGACTGCTCTGTGTTTTTCTAGCTGTGATCCTGGGGAGGTCCCCTCACGTCCCCAGCCTCATGGGTAGGCCCGGCCAACGTATCAGGTCCTGCCCCAGCAGACCCCTGCCCATGGGAGCAGAGCCTACTAGGAGCAGGGGGGGTCAGGGGGACAGTCCTTGAAGTAGTCGTGACAGTAGGTGCAGAGACAGGCAAGGGAGCGCACGTACTCCACGAAGTCCACCTCACAGTCCTTGTTGGTGTCCAGAACACTCATGAACTTATTGTAGTCACACTCTCGCAGCTCGGTCTGTGTAGGGGGAGGGGGAGGGGGCAGGTTGAGGAGGGAGCATGCCACTTCCCGCCCTCCACTCCTGGGCGGTCCCACGCCTCCCACACCCCTCTGGGGGCCAGCCTCAGCCTCCTGTCCTGGTCATTCGCCCATGTCCGTGCCCCCCACACCGTCCTTCTCAGATCCCACTGTCTGCCACTGAGTGTCTCTCCCTCTGTCCTCCGAGTAGCCCTGCAAAGCAGCAGGTGTAGCGACTCTCCTTCCCGTCTCACAGATGAGGACACCGGGACTCCTGCCACGTCCGTTCCCTTTCTGGTGTCCCCTCCTCACAGCCTCGCCTGTACCCCACTTGCTCAGAGCTTGCCCCCGGGTCTGTCTCTGCAGAGTCCAGGCAGTGCTCCCCTGCAGACTGGCCACCCCAGGTGCTCACCGGGGTCCAGGTGGGCAGCTCCTTCTGCAGCAGCTCCTTGAGCTCTGCCTGACAGAGCTTGTGCTTGTCCCCGCAGCGCCCCGAATATTCCTGGAAGGTGCACACGATGGCAGCCACCGCCTGCTCCAGAGGCCTGGCCATCCTCACTGTCAGAGAACAAGGGTGTGAGACTCATGCCAGAGGCCCAGGGCACCTCTGCCCAGGGCGTTTCCCAGGGACTGCTCCCAGACCTTAGTCTCCACCAGGCTTCGGGCAGGCCCCACAAGCTCCCCTCTGAGCAGCCCTCCCTGACCACTCCGGCCCCTTCTAATTTATTTCCCTACTACCCCATTGTTATTTTCCTGGATGGAGGTCTTCTTTCCCTAACATCATTGCAAATTCCTCAGGGAGAGTGCCCCACCCGCCAACTACACCCCCACACTGGGGATCCTTGAGGACTCCCTGACTGTCTACCTTCTCTTGTCCCTGACACCCAGGAAGGGCTCAGTCCCACTGTGCACCCCATGAGATACAGCCTCCTGACCTTTAGGACCCAAACTCCTTCCGTAGGAAATAGCACAAGGAGACCCTTGCCCTGTGTGCCTCATCTTCAGGCCCTTGGAGAAGCTAGGCATTCTCAGGGAGGGGTCAGGTCTGAGAGGAACCCCCACCACCTCACCACCACCACCGTCACCCAACCCTCCTCCCGTGAACTCTGCTTGGGATCCCCTGTGCATCGAACCAGCCACGCAACCTCAGATGAGCCACTGACACTGGGTGTCAGGGGCCTTAGCTGTAAACTGGGGTTCATTCCGCCTCTCAGGCCTACTCAGGGACCTGAACCGGCAGTCCACAGAAAGAGTCAGCTCAGGTATTTACCGGTCTGTGATTTGCCCCACCTGAAGCTGTCCCCCTGCTCCCTGGGGTCGTGAGATAGAAGGCTCTGCATAGGACCACCCTGTTCTGTCAGAGGGGCAGGCTTTCCTGGAAGTGCCCGCCTCCCCCCAATCCCACCGCCTTCTGGGAGGCTGCCTCCAGCCTGGGGAAACCCTGAGGCAGTCGGGAAGGCAGTACTATTCCCCTGTGAGCCTAGGCCCTTGTTCCCCCAGGGGACAGGAGTGTGCAGCAAGGCTGCCCGGCCGTGGCTCTGTCCCTGATGCCCCTCCGCTGGGCCCTGTGGAGCAGAAGGCTGGCAGGGCTGCGGGCGGGGCGATGGGGCAAAGCACTGCCTGTGGTCTCCCCATGACAGCCCAGCGTTGGGGCAAGGTGTCTGTGTTCCCAGCAGAGGAAAAGGCCACACACGCAGGGAATAAGGAAACTCCGAGGTGCTCAGAGGCCCTTCTGGGCTCCTGCCAGCCTGGCTGGCACCACCGCGGTTGCTCTTTCAGAAGCTGGGTCCCTGGAGACTGGAGGGAATCCTCTCTTCCCCGTGAAGCCCTGACCCCTGCCAGATCTCAGCGCTCCACACCCCTAACCCAAGCTTCCAGACAGCCCTTCGCTGTACAAAGGACCCCTGAGCCAACCATATCTGACATCCCTCACCAGGCCAGTCCCTGCTGTGCTCATCCCTCTGCACCCATGCCCAGACCCTGAGCTGCCCTGCCTCCCAATCCAGGCAGCACCCAAGCAGCTGGTACTCACCGCTGGTGTTGGTTTCAGCTGTAAGAGGCTAGAGACAGGACATCCCTATTTGTAGCTTCCCAGTGAAGGAAGGGAGCAATTATGGGGGCCCAAGTAGGTCAAGCTGAGGATGCCCCCAGGGGCTCCCCTGCCTCCTTCCCTGGCGGCCCTTATTATAGGCCCCACCAGCCCACCCACCCATGCATACATCAAAGGCCCATTCGGGGCCACAGACACAACCCCCTTATTGTCCGCCCCCAGAGCTGGGAACTGGGCACAGCAACCCCCCCAACCCCTTCCAGCACAGTTGGAGGAGACAGGCTGATCCATCACATCCACCCCCACCTCTTCACTCTAGAAGCACACATAGCTTCACCCTTAGAGAATCCCTGTGCCAGAGGGGATCTTGGAGAGCAAGGTCTCACCTGCTTAGCCCCCCATCTGCAGGTGAGAACACTGAGGCCTGAGATATCCTCTCTGCCTGACCAGGTCAATGGTTCTTGGTCACTTTGGGCTGTGGACTGCTCTCTCCCCTGAGGAGACCATCTGCAGGGTGTCTGGAAGAATAGGAGGAAGGAAGGCAAACTCTCCGAGGGGCCCTTCCACAGTCAGGCTGACTTCTCTGCGGCCCGCACCCCACTGCCCTAAGGGCCGTAAGTGGGCCATAAAACCTGCGGGCTTCCCTGTGCATACAGCCCCTAGGTCTGTGTCCTGTCCTCTGTTCCCTGAGGTCTGATGGGATGGGGCCTGGTTTCCTCTGGCCTTTAGCTGGAGTATGTAGCCCTTTGGGGTCCCAGCATTATGGGGGCTGTCCCCCTTGTCTCCCCTCCTCAATAAGGCCTGGGCGTCAGCTTCTGTCTTCCTCACCCCACAGACTATGAAAGCCAAAGATCGTTTGGGCTCAGCTTGGCCAATGGTCTTGGGGCATGAGGGGCCCTGGTGCCCTGCTCACCCCCTGGAGTTGGCTTTCTCTTAGATTTTGGTCTCCTCATTCCCTACTGCCCTGTGAGCTCCTCATTGCTTTGGAACATGTTTTTTAATTCTGTCCAACATTTTTTGTTGTTTTTAGTGGGAACAGGCAGAGACCACCATATTACCAGAAGTGGAAATCCCTCCATATCACTATGACTCTATTCCCTCTCTCATGCCCCCCAGCCTGAGAGACCCTTCCCCATTTCATAGCAGGAGAACCCAAGACCCAGAAGAGTGTGTGGAAAGTGGAAGAGGACGTCAGCACCCAGGCCTCTGAGGAAGCTTGTTGCTGATGGAGGCAAACAGAGAGCTCATGATACCTTGATCCCAGCCCTTCCCCAGAACCCAAACCTTGCCTCTGCATCCTCTCCATGAGGGCTCAGCCCCTGTGGGTGAGGGGGCTGAGCAGGGGGCGGGTAGGGAAAGGAGAGCTGTGATTAGCCCTGTTTTATAGGCAAAAGGTTACAAGGAGGAGGGGACAGAAGTGGGGGCCAGCAGTTACTTCACTTCTAGGCCAAGCACCTGTTCCAGCCTGTGATTTCGCGGCTCTGCTACCAGCCACCTCCCTGCCACAGGTCACCCCACCCTCCGGGCCTCACTTCCCTCATCTGTCAATGATCAGGGATAATAATGGTGACCACTTCATAGGATTCCTGTGGAGCTTATACGAGTTGATGTGTATAAAGCTCACAGATAAATAGTGCCTGGCACATAGTAAGGGCATAAATGTTAGCTGAGAGGTGGGTAACTTGTCCGATGTCACACAGCTAATAAGTGGCCAGCCTAAGAGCCATTCATTATTCATGCAGATATTTAAAGGCACCTGTCCAAGGCATTATGGGCATAGTCATAAGCAAGACACATCAAGCCTGGCTCTGTGGAGATGACAACCTAGTGGGGGACACAGGCAGTAACAAATAAATGGACGCTCGGCTGGTGGTGTCAGTGCAAGAGCCAGAGCCAGGGCCAAGGGAGAGAGGGTGGTGGCGGGCTGGCATTGTATGTGGTGGTCTGCTGAGTGGCAACCTGCTTCTCAGAGGTCCTTCACATTCCTCAGCCTGCTGCACCTTTCCGGAAGGATGCTGCCCCTTTGTCGGCCTGCTGCAGGCGAGGGGCAGGAGCTCACCCAGGAGAGACAGGCACTCTGGGGTTGGAGGACCGTCGTGGAAAGGGCCCTTCACCAGACCTCCCCTGCAAGCTCCACCACCCTCTTGCCACCTGGCCTCGAGCTTATCCTTTGCCTGGTTTGGGCCTAATTTCCTTGCCTCCAAAATGGGTTTGGAGAATTCCTACCCTAGGACCTCCGTGTGAAAGTACTTTATGTCACTCACTGTTACAGCCTGCCAGCCCACTGAGACCCCTCAATGGAGGCGTCAGGGAGAGGGGAAGCGGAAGGAGGGAACAAGGCCCTCCTCACCGGGTCATTTTGGGCAGCCTTCTTCGGCCTCCACACAGGGCGTGGGTAAAGCTGCAAACCCTCCTCCCCTGCTTTCCTGAGTTCTGGCAGTGACGGGAATCTGCCTGCCCGTTGGAGGGCCTTCCCAAGCAGCTGCCCTGAACCCCGCTTTCTGCAGTGGTTCCAAATGGACCTCACGCTAACCATCCCTCTGAGGCCAGTCGGGGGCTGCCGTCGTCCTGTCCCACCCTCCGCTGTCCGCTACCTCCTCTTGCTTCTCTACCCTTGGGCTCTCACCGGAGCTCCCCTGCTGTGGGTGCCGGAGCTAAATGCTGAGGTGTGCACCTCATCTGGAAGGTGAGGGTCTCTCCCTGGCCTGTGGGTGTGAGGGTGGGAGTAGATGCATTCTGCCTTGACAGGATTTCCTACAGTACTGACCCTCCCGCCTCGCCTTCCCCCTCTCCCTCTCCTTCCTGCCCCTCCTCTCTCCACTGCCCCCACCATCACCACCAGGGCCTTTGAAAGGCTCCTGGGAAGCTGTGTTGCCCTTTCAAGGTCAGTGTCTGGTTCTGCACCTCAGGGAGAAATAAAATGAAGTGTCCTAGAGCACCTGGACATTCATGTACTTGTTCCAAAAGGACCTGAGCCCAGGGATCAGGGTGAGCACCCCCAATCCCATAGCCCCATGGGGCCAATGAACTGCTGTCAGATTGATCCACCTTCTTTCTCATCATCTAAGTCCCATAAGGGGAGGTGAGAAGGGGGGATTTAATTACTGGGGCTGGAGCCGGGAGGTCTTTGCTGGGGAGAGGGTCTGAACTGAGACCAAGGAGAGCCTGTGGAGCTTAGAATACTACCTCTTTTGATGGCCGAGCCAGTTATGCCCATTTCCCAGATGGGATCGGTGAGTCAGTGGAGAGCTCATGTGACTTGAAGACAGGAGCACAGGGAGCCCTAGTTCAGTCTTTCCCCTGTCTCAGAAGCCACCTTTGACGTCAATATTTCTTTTCTTGGAGGGTTAATAGGCTGCCAAGGGTAGACCCTAAAGAGCAAAGGCCAAGGGGACAGCAAGCCCTGATGGGAGGCATGGCTGTCCTAAGGAGGGTCTCCCAGCTGCAGCTCCAGGAGAAGGGAGGAAGCAACCTGTCCGACATTCCTTTGAATGATGCCATTTTCTGG